ATATAAAATGGTCGTTGTTCAAACCTTCAAGATATTCTACGTGAAATTTCAAGGGTACTTTTCTAACAGTGTATGCAGAAAGGGAAACTTCGTTTTGAATCATATGAAACAATGCATGAAGAAGCTTAGGCATAAAAGAATCAAATGACAGGTCTCAATGAGGGAGATTCCTGATCGGAATTATTCTTGACATTCCGTTCAAGATCTGACTTGGATCATGATCGTTATAATGCAAAACAGTCTAATGGAGTGGTACAGTTATTTCCTCAACTACAATAGATGGGGATATTCCACAATAGTACATTAGAGTACAAGGGCACAAATTTCGTTTTCAACGAATGTGTAGTTTACAGGCCTCTGTACACACATTCGTTGAAAACGAAATTTATTACCGAGTGCTCTATAATATTTTATGTCAAGTCGTGCAGAAGTCGAGTTTTGAGCAGGCTGCGCGAAGCGCAGCGTGCGATAAACTCGACTTATTGCACGGCGCGACATAAAGGTATTTTAGATCTTAGAAAGTTGGAAACAATTGGTTCTCTGAGAAAGTCTCATCATTGCTTTTTTTCATTAAAACGAAGACAGTCATTTCTAGAAAAGACTCGAACCATCGATTAATTCATTATTTTATTCTCTTGGTGAAGGAGGATGGTATCAAAATCTAACATATGTTGATGCTAGGTCAAAAATGCTTACTGCTGATAATTACACCGATATGCGTGATTTCTTATAAAATTCCGCGTATGAAAATAACTTAAATTGGTAAAGTTACCATCTGATTATTAAGTTTCACGGTGTGGCATGGGTATATAATAAAATATTTATAATATACGATGTATATGGTTCGCACATTTGAGAATTCCAATTTAATTAGTCCAATTCAATTTAAAGAAAGGATAGCAGAAGATCAAATTCCTTTAGACAGGAAAGATATCACTGCGCGTATTTTTTATATGGAAAAAAATTCTCATTAATTTAATTATGACTCATTCAATGTTCAGGAAAAATGTGATCTGTCGCCGATATATCTTCGTGAGACTCTGCAAAATCAACGTTTATTTATATATATATATATATATATATATATATATATATATATATATATATTATATATATATATATATGATTCATGGGCCATGTAGTGAGTGGTATCTTGTGAATGGGAAATCGAAATCGAAAGATTCCCCTGACAATTATAAGACGAAGACTAATTATAAAACAAAACTATGGAGATTATATATTCAGATCCATTTGATTGATAATCAACCGCATGAAATTGTGATGATAAATTATGCAATTGCATCTAAGAACTATATAAAATATTATGTTCATATTAATCTAATGATAAATTTCTTCAACGATGGAATTGAAGATGCAGACACCAAGTGCCGAGCGCGCGAAGCGCGCTTTATATTGCTAGTCCTTATGATTAAAAGAACAAGGCGTTTTGTATTTGTTTTTCAGTTATCGAGAAAAAATAAATCGATTTGTTTTTTTCTCGATGAATGATGAAAATAATCGATTGTATACCAATCGATTGTGGTGACAGTTTCTCTCAGTTGTTTTTGTGAGAAGTTAGCCGAGGAAAAATAGGAAAAGAAATTCTCACGGGAAAAAGTGTGAGAATATTATTATAGGAGGGTGAGAATATTATGGGAGAGAAGAAATATCGATGTGTATTTTAATGAATAAAGAAGAGAAAATTGTGTTAAAATTAAGAATTGAAATATGTTAAAATTAAGAGGTTTTTATTATTAATACTGTAGTGACATTTCATTGTCTTCCTGGTGGAAATGATGTAAGTAGATTTCTTTCAACATGAATCCTTCGACGGAATAAAAAAGTATACTAAAAAAGAAATAATCTTAAAGTTATCGAGTTTTATATGTGTTTACATACATGGTAGCTTCTTTTTCAGTTGAAAAAAAAAGTCGGTAATCGTGAACTACGTAAAGAGAAGAGAAAAGAAAGGGAAAAAAATAACTCGTGAATCGTAGAGTAGAATTGCCTCCTTTATTAAACGTTCAAATATTTTTCCAATTCTCCAACATCAAAACGAGATTTGATTCATTGATATCGTATCACTTGGTTAGACGATATTTTTAACAATTAAACATGATTTGCTTGATTTCATTTTCTACAGCTTTTTTTTCCCTATGAGAAAGAGAAGGGCAGAGATGAAAATTAGCTGTAATTGATGTTGTTAGAGATCAATTGTTCTTAAATATTGGAAAAATATTTTTCCATTGAATAAAACATATTCTCATGTGATTTTTATTCTTCTCCCATTTTCAGACCTGGTTTGAAGCAAATAGGTGAAGGAGGTTTCGGGTTTTCAGACCTGGTTTGAAGCAAATAGGTGAAGGAGGTTTCGAGTTTATCTTGTTATCGACACACCGGAGAGTTTTCCTTTGCTGGCGGAATAATCAATTTGTATCGATGAATGTGGTAATTTATTGAAGAAATTGATGATATTGATAGGATAATTATGATGATGATGTTGATGTTGATGCTGTTGAGGATAATAATAATCATGATGGTGATGATTTGTGGATGAGGAAGATAACTTTGATTTTTGATTTTATGAATTGTTTATGATTTGATGATATACTCATTGATAAAATGAATGATAAATTGGAAGTGATGGAAATATTGTGATGTATGCCCATGAAAGTTTTACATGAGTGAGATCAAGTTACAGAGATTTTAATTGGTTTTGAATGTACGAGAATTTGAATTGATTTTGAATTTGTACGAGAGAAATCTACTGAATCGAGACAAATCTACTCAATCGAGTTACTTCAGAGTGCAGCTGACTTCCGATGATAGCATGAAATTTCCAGATTTGAAAATTCGAATGCATCATATGACCTGTCATATGATAGTCATGTCATCCTCTTCCTGCAGTTTGGATTTTTTTTTCTAAATTTTAATTCTTTTTGAATTTTTATATTTTATGGTAAACGAAAATAGCTTCTTAATGTTTTTCTATGGTATTTGTAATCGGCCCGATGCTCAGCGCTAAAGCGCTGATTGTTCGTAAACGCGCGCAACCGTGCGCGTTATGTACCTAGTCCTGATTATTCAAGTCAATCGACCCACAATCGACAAGTTATTCAGTCGTTTCATATTAGTTTCTTATACTTAGTGAATGAATCGACTCGCTGCCAAGTCGCTGGTAGCTCGATTGTCCTCATTATTCAAGTCAATCGACCCACAATCGACAAGTTATTCAGTCGTTTCATATTAGTTTCTTATACTTAGTGAATGAATCGACTCGCTGCCAAGTCGCTGGTAGCTCGATTGTCCTCATTATTCAAGTCAATCGACCCACAATCGACAAGTTATTCAGTCGTTTCATATTAGTTTCTTATACTTAGTGAATGAATCGACTCGCTGCCAAGTCGCTGGTAGCTCGATTGTCCTCATTATTCAAGTCAATCGACCCACAATCGACAAGTTATTCAGTCGTTTCATATTAGTTTCTTATACTTAGTGAATGAATCGACTCGCTGCCAAGTCGCTGGTAGCTCGATTGTCCTCATTATTCAAGTCAATCGACCCACAATCGACTAGTTGTTTAGTCGTTTCATAATAGTTTTCATAATTCCAGTGGGCGAATCGACTGATCCTTGAGTCGATTATTACTCGATTGACTTCATATTATTCACTTATATGAAACGACTCAACAGCTGGTCGATTGTGGGTCGATTGATGGGGATAATATGCGGGCAAACGAGTCACAATCGACTTTCTTTAAGTCGATCCTGGTCCAACCGTAAGGAGTCTTTCATAATCGATCACCCCATGAGTCGTTCAAGTTTTGGTACAATAAATTTTTGTCATTCGAAATTCACTAGCTATCGACTTCCTATGAAGGCGATTCATCTTCGATTCCATCAATAATCTGAGATCTGAATCGAACTATACTCGCATACGAATCGATATACTGATCAAATCGATTCTGCAATCGACACATCCGCCAGGGATAGGTTTCATGATCCTCGCACCGGAATGGATTAACCCTAGTCTTGTCACCTTACTCGACCCTGTGACTTTGGTCACGTTGTGAGGCATTCCCTGCAATGTTAACGGCGCTGCGACGGTGCCAAACCCTTGGTTCTTACCGAGTCTCTCAGTCGGTATCGACTTTGTACGTAAGGAGTGGGATGGGGGAACGCACTAGAGAGGGACTGGCGATGTCGCGCGACGAAAACCTCCAACCACTCTAGTCGCGTAGTGAGAAGATCCCCGCTTTTGCGTGTTCTCTTTCCCATTATTATTCTCTCTGAAACTAATTATTGAATTGATAGAACTGACAAAAATACTATTAAATTCTAGACGTTTCGATTGACACAGTAGAATTTTTTCCGAATTTTCCAAACTGTAAAAAAACAAATACGGAAAAAAGCGGGGAATTCCTCATAGGGTGACGAATTTAGGGTTAACGAAATGGGAATTAATATTTGCATATCAGATATCTCTTGAAAATGGGTGCGAATAACTATGAAGATAGATGTTAGGCTCGCCAGTACTTGACCAAAAAAATCAAAATTTTCGTGGTGATTAATGCCTGTATGGGAAAGGTCAAGAATTGATTGCTTGGAAAAAGTTTCTTTTCCGACTCTTATTTAATTACCGTTACTTCCATCAACAGAAAAATTCATTAAATTGACATTGACAATTGCGGTGGCTTAATATAGTGTTTATTTTATATTCGTAGGATGCTGCTGGTATGAATTAAATGTCACACAATGAAGTTGGATGCAGCAATTTAACCTCCATCTCGAGCAGCCACTACGTGAAACTTTTCAACCATGCAACCACTGAATTTATCAAAAAGACCCAAACAAAAGAGGAAAAAAGTGGATTAGAATCGCCAGTAATATGTCACAATCAATAACCTGAAATTCAAAATTGAAGAACAAAATTTGATTTCCTCAATATTGAACCATCGAAAATATTAAATTATTTAGTACCCTTCCCAAAGAATTAACAAAATGTCATCCCTGATGATTTGCCATGGATTGCACATTATGATGTTAGAATTGTCTGTAGAAAAGGTATGTCGATGATCATAGACAGGAAGAATTCCGGTAAAATCAAGTTTATTTGTAATTTTCCAATTTCCCTCATTACACAATCGATTGGAAAAATTCATTCTGTCTTGTCACTCATATTTAATAAATTTATCAGCTATTGGTCCGAGATTCCCATATATTTGATGCTGTGACCCTCCGTAAAACAACCATAATGTTCCGAATGTTCGATAATAATTGGATCGAGTTGCAGCCACAGCAGCAGAACTATCGTCAATACAACGGTTCACACAGTGAGGTGGAGCATTTTCATGGTGGTAAATCCGTCGTTTTCGCTATATCTGAGGGCTACCTCGAACACGAAACGTCAAATGCAAGTATAAAGATTCGTGCATTCAAGAAAATTTCGAAACACTTTGAGGTGGAGCCGTGCTATGATGCTGGAGTGACATACATCGATATCCATTCACTTTTTAATGGAATTGTCAAAGAATTGAGAGAGAGGAAAAATATGAAACATTTCACGTTTTTCCACGAAAGAGAACCTATTTCAAAGTAAGGAGAAATTAATAGTATAAAAAATTTCAATTATTTTTTTTTTTTCATGCAACTCCTAATTTTTTTAAATGTTTTAGTAAACCCAACAATGTTCTCAAATTTTTGGGGGAAGTCTCGCATTTTCTCATATTTTCGTCAAATTTTCAAAAATAGAGCCGGTATTTGTTGAATTTTCTAAATAAAGACTCGAGAATTTTTAGGGATTCATTACAAAAGAGGCTACATTTGCTCCGATATTTCTAAAAAACAAAATTTCCCAAAAAGGAAACGTTGAAAATTGGAAAGAAATTTTTCATAACTAAAAAGAAAAAGATTGTATAATGATTGTTTTTCAAAATTCTCAAGAAGTCTTGAATGTTCTAGATCATAATGCCTCAGTTATGGTCCAGATTATATCCCTACTCAAATTCCGATAACCTACTCTTGAGAGTTCACTTTTTAAACCTTGAACCTAAATAATCCAGAATAGCCCCCACGCTGGCTACAGGCATATGAATAAACCAAACAGATGAACCACTTCATACCCGCAGTTTTACAAATCTCATAAAAAATCGTTACTTTAATCGTTGAGTGGTCGCAGCTTTCCATCGAACGTTACTGATCACACGGCGAGCGATTCGCAGCTCCGTGTATTTTGCGATTTTGTGATTTCGAACCTTAAATCGACAGGAAATGAGGATATTAAAGAAGAATAGTCGACCGATAATCCTAGAATTCGATTTCATTAGGTACAAATTTTGGGCATTTAGAGGTTTAACACGGAGATTTTCTATGTGTCGAGTTTGCAAAAGATTTTAATAATTGATTGGTGCGAGTATCGACCAAAAAAAGTTGTCAATGCATTCGATTTAGTTGAAAATAGAAATACAAATTTTTCTAAATTTTTCATTTACGGGATTTTCATGTAAGAAAAAAAGCGAAAAAACGCTACGATTCCCTTACTCGGAGAGAAATGTTCAGTAAAAACTACGGAATTCACAGTTCGCTCATCGATTACGGAATCGACTCAGAAAATGTGAGTGGCGGTATTGTAATTTTTTACAGGAGATTCAGGTACAAATTATAAAACGCTTTGGAGAAATTCAGTGATTTTAGATAAAAATTACGTGACGGTTCCGTAAAATTTCCGAAAACCACATTGAGCTCTGGAATTACGAAAAAGATACGTAATTTTTTATTGAATATTTTTCTCCGTGTATTGTGCGACCACTCAAGGGTCAACACTCCGTTGATCGTGCTAAGAGCCTCGCGCCGCTCTTTTTCCGATTTTCTAAATCGCATTGCAGTAAAGCCTCAGAAAAATTTGAAAAAATTTGGCATCTCATTTGAAAATGTCTAAAAGTCCTATCAATAAATATCCATTAAAAATATTAACAGTAGTGAGTTTTTAAAATTTTTATTCGAAAACTCCAGGCCGTGACCGTGTATAGGGGAGGTGGTGCCTGTACCCACTGAGCGGTACAGACACCCACCCGCGTTTCTCATGATTGGCTGAGAAATTTTTTTTATTACGCAAATCTTCAATAACAAGAAGTAATTTGAACGATGTTCAAACGAGGAAGGAGTAGGATATTCGAGAAATGCAACCAATTTTATGAAATTTTTTTCACATATTATTTAATCCATTCAGGCACCCCTTGCAAAATTTTAGAAATCCCGGGTTCAGGACAATAAAAATTAATTTTAAAGATGCTGCTTGTACATAAGGTTAAATGGGTCATCGATAATTTCAGTATTTTTTCCACATTGCTGACTGGTCGATAATATAGGGAAAATGTACGAGTTATCGATGCTCCCTTTAACCTCGTGTAAAGGTAGCAAATTTAGAATTCGTTTTTATTGTTGTCCTGAACCTGGGGTTTCTGAAATTTTGCAAGAGGTGCCTGAATGGATTGAACAATATGTGAAAAAAAATTCATGAAATTGGCTGCACTTTTCAAATATTCTACTTCTCTCCTGAACGTCGTTGAGAGAAAGTTTCAGTTTTCTTCCGTAGAAAGATGATTAAAAAATAAAATCGAAGGTTTTTCTACCGAATTCATAAAATATCGCCCCCAGAATTTAAGCTTTTTCAAATTTTTAATTTGTCTCCCGTTGAATGGACTGCAAAATATATATTCGTGGTACATTTATGCATCAATTAGGACCTTTTCAATAGCAAAAAAAATGTCTATTATTTATTATTCGCTATTTAATCAGCCTCTGCATTTTTGGGTAATTCCGCTCGGGAAGGGATTCTAATACCGCTCACTGTGAGGGCAATATCGCTCACCGAGTGACAGTTGACTCGTTTGGAGTACTCGGCAGCCGCTGGAAGATTAGGTGAATTTAGGATAATTTATTATTATGTAACTGAAATCCCTCTCAAAATAACGCCAGACAATTTAAACAAAGGATATAACTTGAAAAAATGAGAAAATTGGATATGCATTGTCCTTGAAAAAAGTCACCGAATAATATATTGTGTTACTAGTGCGTAAGTTTCCACTTTTTCGCACACACGTGTAACACATTCTATTTGTCTTACCTGCCGAGTTCACTGTTCGGAACAGTAGGGGTAATATGGTTGTTTTCGTGCACGAGTGCACAAAAGCGAACCTTTACCACAAAATAGGTATCACAAAAACAAATATAATGGGGTTAAGGGATCTCCTAGATAATTTCATTTCTTTGATATTATCGATTCTCAGTTAATATTTCAACCTCATATTATCTTCTGAACTCATTTTTTTCAAAGATCTTAACGGAATTGGTAATGAAGGAAAAAAATCAAATGTCTCTCCAAATCAAGCTGTGGAAATTGCATTTGCAAATCTGTGTTTCATAAATATGTCGAAATCTATGCAACATGATGAAATTTTCATGAGCTACTATTTTTTATAAAGAATTCTAGGATCTACCGACGTCCAATGGTCGCGGTGGCTAAATCGTTAAGTTCGGCTTGGCCACTAGGAGGTCGTGGGTTCGAATCCCAATCCGATCGGTTTTGTTAATTTCTGGAAACAGGGGTTGGGGGCCCGAAAGGGGGGCTGGGCTTCGGATCCCGAGTGGGAGGGACCCTTAACTTCCGGTCAAGAGTGTTAAGGGGCTCGCCTGGGGCGGATTCTGGTGGGGTCCGTCTCACCTCGGCTCTTTATGAGCGGGAGGTTTCTAATAGAGGAATCGACTGTACCGACGGAGGTTTTCTGTAGTTTCCTCCGTCTCTCGCGAGAGCAAATGCGGTACAGTGTAGCAAGTTGGCCACAGCCGCAAGGTTAGGTAGAGGGTAGATGGCGGAGTAAACCAAAGGGTTTAAAATGCCTTAAAAAAAACAAATTCGAGGATCTGCAGAAATTGTTTTAGTACTTGCTTCTATAATTGTATACTAGTTTCTGAGATATTCGCGAAATCCTAAAAACTAAAAAGTCTAGCGAAATAAATATGGTGAAAATGCCCCCAATGAATTTGGAATGGGCATTTTTTTCTGTTGCTTATCGTGATAAAATATGCCATCCGAATTTTCAGATTTTTATTTGCATTCCTGCCAGTTTTATCGCCCGAAAATGGTCTCTTTTAAATGTTTTTTAGCCGCCGAAGTGTTCTAAAAAACTGAATAATTTCTGGAAAAAACAGAATTATATCAACATTCATGTGACATCTTTTTATTTATTTTCTTTACAATAATTTCTATTTAGAAAAAATTATGAATCATAGTTTTGAGGCTTTCGCGGCCATGATTGTTGGTATCATTGACTTCCGGATGGATGCCGCATTTGGTTTCAGCGTTGCGCCGACGTTTCGCAAACATTACAGTCTGCATCTTCAGAGCTATGAGCTTCGATTCTGAGCTCCGATGTGTAGGGTCATAGTCCTTCTACGCCCTCCCCTGCGATGATGGGGCGGTGTGTGATGGTGGAGGGGGGGGGTGTAGGGATAAAGGTGTGTGGTTGGGAAGGTAACAATCAACTAACAAATACAATTAAACTAATAATTAGAGATTTATTATCCGCGTCAAATTAATACAAAAGTGAAGAGAAAATAATATGATCCGATCAAATGTGCGATACGAGCTGTATTCTTAGACTAAATTATATTCGCACGGAAAGGTGTCGGAGAGGCTGTCGAATATCCTTACGATTTGATGAATCAGAAAAGAATACGCGTGGCACTGAAGGTGCGAGTGAGACAGCAAATGCCTGTGCTCATCGTTAGCCAGTGTTTGCGTGTTAAGATGTAACGAGGCGCCACAGGGGGGGAGGGGTAGACAATCATTTTTAATTGGTCAGCTGATCAATTAAAAAAAACTGGGAGGACGGTTTTCCAAATAGTGTTCACTTGATATCCTCTGTCTCTGTTGAAGTTGTTAGGGTTTTTATGGATCTCCAGGCCCTCTCAATATTTCCTTTCCAAATATTCTTGAGATTTGGCCGACATTCTTGCTTGATCATAATGAATAGTATGTCCAAAATCCATCCAGTGTTCGTCGCTGGTGTTCCTTGATCCGTGTACTGATCTTCCTCCCAGTTTCTCCAATGTACACTTTTCCGCATGAACAGAAGGTCAGAACTTCGCTGTTGCCTCTAGGAAAATTCCTACTGAAGAAATCATCAGTTGGATCGAAACATCGGAAATCCGGAGGCAGTTGTCCAACATTCCACAAGGCCACTCCCCCTAGTGACAATATCACCAGGGAGGAACGTCTTGCATTGCATAGTCTAAAGGAGAATAATGATATCATTATTCTGTCAAAGGACAAAAGCAATGGCACGGTGGTTATGGAGAAGGACGACTACTCCGGAAAACTCAGTGCGATGTTGGGTGACTCCAGAGTTTACACTAAACTCAGGAACGATCCAACTCGTACAATTGCGGAAAAAACTGCTGATCTCCTGAGGAAGGCTGGTCTCTCGGTCGATCTTAGGAAAGTACTCACTCCTAAAGAATCCTTTCCCCCCAGACTCTATGGACTCCCCAAAATCCATAACGAGTCTGTTCCTCTCCGTCCAATTGTCAGTAACATTG